GAGGAACTGGTAACTATCCAATGTGGATTAGGCTGGAATACAGGATGCAGTCTGGATGTGGTCCTAGTTACAGGCAAAATAAAGGTTGGAATCAGGGAGGGCCTTAAATGATAAATGATATGCCCAGGAATTTTATTCTACAGGCTATGGGGCGTCATGGAAACTTTTAGTGTGCGAGAGAAATATGATAGAGGTACACTCTTAGGAAGAGGGCTCTGACGGTTCTGAAAATGATGGTTTGAAATACAGAGAAAGAAGTATAAAAACTTCTAGGGAGTCTTTGCAGCGGTTTAGAAGGGAAAGCAGGAGGGCTTCAGTTCTCCTACCGTTGAATTTTGCATTTTATTACTTCTGTCTAAGCCACCCCAAGTTGTTAAATGCTTATATTTCTCTGTTGTTATAGTTCACAAAAGTCTCCTTTCATTGCTTGTTTTTTCTGTTTCCGTTTCAGATCAATTTTCATTTTTTTCTCTATGATTCTTGCTTATCTACTATTCTGAATTTTAGCTCCAAAGACAACTTTTATTTCACTTCTATAATTAAAATATTCTATATATCAGATCCTAAGTGTATCCAGAGATGTCTCATTCATGATACTCTAGGCAAAAGGAATTTGGCTAAGCCACTAAGAGAAAATATCAATGGAGACATTGATTTCAGCTTGACTGATGAGGTTGGAGCTGAAATTAGGAATATCTCCAAGAAAAGGCATCTCAATTTGGGGTGTATATGGAAATTCCGAGTGATTAACATGCATACTTGTGTTTTCTTTAGATCACCATGTTCTCTGTGGTTGGATTTCTGTTAGAAAGCGATGGGAGTGGTGCACTACTTTGCATCACCTTTTTCATTCCACCTGCCACACTGATTGGCTGTATGTTCTTATCTTTTCGTGTAAGTAATGCCACCTCTGTCTCTGACCTGAAATTCATGACCAATTGTGAAAGCTTCGCTTAGTGTTGGGACTCTACCACATGCTGAACATGCACGTCATTTGAAGTCTCCCCCAGACTGGTTTTCTCCCAGATGTGCTCCACTCAGAAGTCTGGCCCTTGTTAATATGTAAGTGGCGGGAAATAGAACAGTGTTTACACTCATTCAGGATTTATACACTCCTGGGCATTTCTCAGCTTTAGAAGTAGGCAAACGAAATGCTCCTTATCTTTGCAATTTCAGGGTTCTAGAAAAGCACCCCAGATGTATAAAGACCATTTTTTTCTAGCCTACGGAAATGTATATTTCTACAAAAGGAAGGAAGTTACAATACATGTACAACATCTGTAATTTTCCCCATAAAGAATGAGAGGTTTTCTGGGTAATGGAACCCTCCTTAGAGAATCTGGTAACAACTATGGATCATCTCCGTCCTCAGAAGAATTCTCATCCGAGCTCTCTTCCATGAACCCCAGGCTAGGAGCACCTATTTCTGAGTGAAGAGTTATCTATGGGGCAGGGAAAGTAAGAGAAACGATACTACGAAGGGGAACAATGGGTACAAACACTATGTGAAGCTCTGAGTACAGAGGATAAGCCCTGTCTCCCTCACTGTTTGGGGTCGTCCCAGCAAGAACCCCAGAATTTTCTCACCAGGTAATGAACAATCACTGAATCCTATTGCTTCAAAGAAAAGCACAGTGGCTCATAGCCATAGGGAGAAAGAAGACAGCCCTTCCCTCCACATTTTGGAACTGACAATTACCAGATACGTGCGGTAAAAGCAGGGGGAATATCAGAAGGGCTGTTCAATGGGCCAAATCGCATTTATTTGGATAAAATTCATGAAATAGAAAAGTTTCCATTTAATCATTGTGTTTCCTTTTGCAGCTTTTCATGTTTGCTGTGTTTAGTGAAAAAAGTGCCGTAGAAGCATACCTGGTATTTCTAATCGTAAGCACACGTTATCATTTAAAATTACTATGTTTTTTACTGTACTGTACTCAATAATTTTAATTCCTATGCACATTGTGGAAATTTTTATTAAGCTGGGGGTATAGATATCTGTAGCTCACGGAGATATAGGCTGTTAAATCTGGAACAATTTTTTTTATAAAGATCCACTGGCCAGATAATATGCTTCCCAAATTTTACAAACTCTGTACAACCATTAGAGAAAATGACGTAAAGCAACACTATCACATAATTATAGTTGTTTCCAGTGGTTTCTGTAAACAATTTTTGAAAATGAATTTGATAGTTTCATAATTTACCAAATAGATTCTTGGACATTTTGTAATGATTTTGCCAGATATATCTTTGTAGAGGACCAGATATTCCTAATTTACCTACGATGTTGAAACAATGATCTTTTTGTGGTTTTCGTGTTTCTAAGTGAGCATCTCTCTCTTTATCCCTAGCCTTTCCTTCATTTTATCATCTTTGTTTTTATTCTGCGATGTCTGGAATGGAAGTTTGGAAAGAAAACAATGAGAAAGGATCCCGTCTTTAGGTTAGGAGAAATCAAATTGGATTCTGTCTTTTATTTCATGGATCAATATTAAAAAATATTTCTTCATGCAGAAACCAATCTATTTGCAAAGAGGTGCTACCTACTAGGATAGGCTGGAAGAGGAGCTAGTGTGTTAATACAAACAGTGGAGATCCAGGTACCAAAACCAAAGAAGATTACAATCTAGTGGAGGAACTAACACACCTAAAACTTTGAAAATTAAGGGTTCTATTGACACTACGTGCGGTGAGCTCTGGGGCAGGTTCAGTTTAAACAGCAATCAACTTGAATAGACTGGCAGTTGGAGGAATATTGCCAATCCAGGAAGGAGGAATAGAATGAGCAACAGGCCAAAACCAAAAATAATTGTGCTTTTTTTCCTAGGGGAGTGAGAATCCCAGCTGATAGATCACAGACTGGCCCTGGTATTAAAACCAAAAACCAAACCCATTGCCATCAAGTTGATTCTGACTCATAGTGACCCCATGTGTGTCAGAGGAGAACTCATGCTCCACTGAGTTCTCAATGGCTGATTTTTTGGAAGTAGATCACCAAGCCTTTCTTCCAAGGCATCTCTGGGTGGACTTGAACCTCCAACTTTTTGGTTAACAGCTGAGAGCATTAACCATTGGCACCACCCAGGGACTCCTAGAATGAACAGTATTCTCTGTATGAAGGACCAGACAGAATGGGAGTGAAAGTGTAAATCTCACACATATTCCAAAGAAACGAACAGGCTTAATAAGAGATCAGCTATCTAACTTGTGTCTTCTGGAAAAGCTCTGATTTCAAATATCCTGGCCCATCCTCCCCATAATAACACAATAATGCTAACATGTTAGTATTAAAGCTGTGATTCTCAAAATAATTGCTTCATTAAGCTATGATATAAAAATTTGTCAGTAATAGGTACCAAGTTGCCCGCTGAGATAGAAGAAGAATGTTTCTATAGATAAGTAGCACTGACGGGAGCAAGAAGACTATGAAGGGGGAGAGTGTAGCTGCATTGCAGGGAGACTATGATGATTTATTAATTATCACCTCTACTTAAGTATAACATTGAAAGAATTCAGTATTCTTGCTACAAGGATGAAAACCAAAAAATCAGTTATTAATGGGTGGTTTTGACTCCAGAATTTCTCCAAGAAGCAGCGACGTTTGTCAAAATCCAGAAAACCCAGAAGGAGAGGATGAAGATGTTCAGATGGAAAGAGTGCGAACAGCAAATGCCTTGAATTCCACAAACTCTGATGAGGTAAAACACTCAAACGTTGTCATTTCACCAAATAACACAGATGTTGTCAATTAAGGTGGCCAGCCTACCAGATAAATTCTCAAATGATTTTGAGTTGCTTCTATACACATGGGGACCTACTTTATTTTAAAAGGTAGCCACCATCTTTACGTCCAAATGGGAAGATTAAAAGTCAAGTTAACTCTCTTTGTTTTTCTTAGGAAAAAAAAAAAAGAAAGAATACAATTGAAATCGCAAAAGCCAAGGAAGAACTTGTAAATTTTAGAAACGGAGCAAAGTCTCCATCCAAAATTAAGGGTCAAGTCCAGCCCACAGCATGTGCCATTTTGTCTTTGCGGATGATTCAGTACTTCTTCAAGTCTCCTTGCTTTTGTTGTGAGGAGTTGGGTGGGTTGTATAAAATAATATGCTTCTGAGCAACTGCCTTTGTAGGAGAGGAAAATGACAGTCGCTTGTCTCCAAAAATAAGTGTTAGGACAGGAGAATGGCCAGTGAGCATATCACCCCATAGAGGGTCTCCTTTGATGCCTGGTTTGGGCAGTGAGGGGCCAGCCAGTGCGGGGAGGGTTTTGCTGTTGTTAGGTGCC